CCGGGCAGTCAGAACCAGAGAGAGGACCGCGCTGACCCCGTGCACACCCAACGGCCGCCGCCGCCTCGCCAGGAGCCTGACCCCTGCCCTTCCCCAACCCCTGGGACCCCACAACAGCCCTGGCCTTGCCCAAGGAAAGGATAGAAATGACTCTTTTTCTTTTTTTTTTAATAAAATTATAGATATATAGATGTAGATATAAAAACATAAAACAGACACAAGGCAAGCGGACGCTGTCGTGTGCTTACTCGGGTCCCTGACGCCAGGGGGAGCACGGACCCGTCCCCGTGTGCTCTCCACGCGGCGCCCATAGCGCCCGCGGGCCAGGGCGGGGAGGGCTTGCATGCCGTGGGGTGGGGATTCTCCAGTTTGGCAGGGAGGGCCTGAGGGCTGGGGACGGGGCTGTGGGTCTTGCCAGCCCCCTGTGGCAGCATCAGGGGGCCCCGTGCCCACGCCCACCTGCGCTCCGTTGCCTCCCACAAGAGCATAAAGCAGAGGTTAAGGCTTCAAGGAAGGGCAGCCGTGGCCCGAGCGCGAACACACCAGACGCGGCACAGCAGCTCAGCACACAGACACGGGACACGAGCCCACTGGCCGGGCAAGAAGGGACACACAGAGCCGGGACCCCGCCGCAGCGGCCTGTCACCTGTCACAGCCCGGAGAAGGCTGGGCTCCCTGCAGAAGCACTGGCTTTGCCAAGCTCCGAGCCGGGTGGGTGAGGCCCTTGTCTAGGAGCCTGTAGGGACCCGGGTGCCTCTAGGCCACAGCGACCCTCCGTAAGGAGTAAGCGGGGCCCTGGGGTGGTGGGGGAGTGGCCTAGTGACCATCGGGGGGACGTGGGTGACAGCGGAAAGAGGAGGCCCGTGCTGGCACAGCCTCACCCGGAGCCCGTGTCCGGGAGCAGACGGGTGGACGGACAGACCGCGGGCGCCGGGTGGCTTGCAGAGGCGTGTTCTCTCCTGCGGCTGCGGCCACACCCGGGGCAGAGGAGCCAGGGGGGAAGGGGCTGCGGCGGGGG